GCATGTAGAGGTCTGTAATTTTTATCATAGGTACACTTCAACTGTGAGAGATGGAATCTAAAACAAAACTCCAGAAAATCACATTGTATGATTTTTAAGTAATTAATTTGCATTTTATTGCATGACATAAGTATTTGATCACCTACCATCTGGTAAGAATTCCGGTTCTCACAGACCTGTTAGTTTTTCTTTAAGAAGCCCTCCTGTTCTCCACTCATTACCTTTATTAACTGCACCTGTTTGAACTCGTTACCTGTATAAAAGACACCTGTCCACACTCAATCAAACAGACTCCAACCTCTCCACAATGGCCAAGACCAGAGAGCTGTGTAAGGACATCAGGGATAAAATTGTAGACCTGCACAAGGCTGGGATGGGCTACAGGACAATAGGCAAGCAGCTTGGTGAGAAGGCATCAACTGTTGGAGCAATTATTAGAAAATGGAAGAAGTTCAAGATGACGGTCAATCACCCTCGGTCTGGGGCTCCATGCAAGATCTCACCTCGTGGGGCATCAATGATAATGAGAAAGGTGAGGGATCAGCCCAGAACTACACGGCAGGACCTGGTCAATGACCTGAAGAGAGCTGGGACCACAGTCTCAAAGAAAACCATTAGTAACACACTACGCCGTCATGGATTAAAATCCTGCAGCGCACGCAAGGTCCCTCTGCTCAAGCCAGTGCATGTCCAGGCCCGTCTGAAGTTTGCCAATGACCATCTGGATGATCCAGAGGAGGAATGGGAGAAGGTCATGTGGTCTGATGAGACAGAAATAGAGCTTTTTGGTCTAAACTCCACTCGCCATGTTTGGAGGAAGAAGAAGGATGAGTACAACCCCAAGAACACCATCCCAACCGTGAAACATGGAGGTGGAAACATCATTCTTTGATGATGCTTTTCTGCAAAGGGGACAGGACGACTGCACCGTATTGAGGTGAGGATGGATGGGGCCATGTATCGCGAGATCTTGGCCAACAACCTCCTTCCCTCAGTAAGAGCATTGAAGATGGGTCGTGGCTGGGTCTTCCAGCATGACAACGACCCGAAACACACAGCTAGGGCAACTAAGGAGTGGCTCCATAGAAGCATCTCAAGGTCCTGGAGTGGCCTAGCCAGTCTCCAGACCTGAACCCAATAGAAAGTCTTTGGAGGGAGCTGAAAGTCCGTATTGCCCAGCGACAGCCCCGAAACCTGAAGGATCTGGAGAAGGTCTGTATGGAGGAGTGGGCCAAAAACCCTGCTGCAGTGTGTGCAAACCTGGTCAAGACCTACAGGAAACGTATGATCTCTGTAATTGCAAGCAAAGGTTTCTGTACCAAATATTAAGTTCTGCTTTTCTGATGTATCAAATACTTATGTCATGCAATAAAATGCAAATTAATTACTTAAAAATCATACAATGTGATTTTCTGGATTTTTGTTTTAGATTCCGTCTCTCACAGTTGAAGTGTACCTATGATAAAAATTACAGACCTCTACATGCTTTGTAAGTAGGAAAACCTGCAAAATCGTCAGTGTATCAAATACTTGTTCTCCCCACTGTAATTGTTATTTTAATTTTTTACTTAACACTTTTTTTCTTCTTAAAACTGCATTGTTGGTTAAGGGCTTGTAAGTAAGCATTTCACTCTAAGGTCTACACCTGTTGTATTCAGCTCATGTGGCAAATCACATTTGATTTGATTTGATTAGTTAAGAAGCTGAGAATAAAAATGGGCTTCTTCTATAGAAATAGGTCCTGCCTCACGATAGTAGACAGCAGATTATTCAGTCGACGTTCCCATCGGTCCTAGACTATGGCGACATCATCTATATGAACGCAGCTGCCACTTCAGTAAAGCCGTTAGATGCAGTTTATCACAGCATACTGCGCTTTATTATGGGCGACAGTTTTAGCACACATCACTGCATTCTCTACCAGAAAGTTGGTTAGTCCTCTTTGATGTCACGTGGGTTGATACATTGCTATGTTTTCATGCATAAAGAAGCCCTTTTACAAAAACTCCCACTGTACGTAACGTCATTACTAAACTTCAGACATACGAGTTACCACACCCGGTCTCAGGGATTGCTAACTGGAAATTCCGTTGGTCTCTACTGAGTTAGGTAAGTCAGCTTTTAGTTTTCTTGCACCTCATTTGTGGAACAATCTTCAACATTTTCTTAAATGTGATGTTTTGGTGCCTCTAGGGCAGTTCAGAAAGCTGATGGAGGACCTTATTACCGATGAATGTGTTTTTCTTTCTGCTTGGATTTTGTATTTATATTTTGATGTGTATTTTTTTGTAATTCAGGGCGCCTCTGTAAAATAGACCTTGGTCTCAGTCCCTGATAAAATAAAGGTTAAATAAAAATAAATTACTAAAATGAAAAATCAATAAGAACATTATTGACTAACTGCACATGTGTGTGTCCTCATCGGCTCCTTTGGGGCAGGTCACGACCCCGTTACATAGGTCAGAGGGCGGGATGCAGGTCACTCTGTCATCACACAGGAAGCCTGTCACATTGTCCTCTGTCCTGCAGATACGGCCTACCACAGGGGACATTACAAACCCTCATTACTAGAACTGGGGATCAGTATCCACAAAGCATCAGAGTAGTATCACTGATATAGGATCAGTTTGAACTATTAGATCATAATGAAAGAACAGGGGGGGGGGGGACCTGATCATAGATCAGCACTCTTACTCTGAGATGCTTCACAACAAATAGGCCTACAAACCCAGGATGTTACCGAAGGGTAGTATTTACTGCCATCTTGTGGCAGATATCAGTAACTGCATACAATAGCACTCGATTAACATGGATAAACAAGACAACAGTAAACATCTCGTCCCCTACGAATGATGCAGCGCCCCAATTTTGTAAATGACGGATCTCTATGGCAAGACTCATCATTCACCCAAGTTTCGTCAAAACTTAGGCCAGTGGTGTCAGAGATATCACGTGGGTTAGCTAGACGCGTTTCCCTGAGCATGTGTGCCAAATTTCAACACCGAGTCAAACAGATCAAGAGATATAAACATGTTCCTGTTATAGCGCCACCATGTGGTCGATATGAATGTTCTTGCATATGTTGAGTCTTGACAGTGTTTGCAACATGTGTACAAAATTTTGTTACAATTTGAATATCCTTGACTCCTTTATGTGCCAGACCACGCCCACGTGAACGTTGTTTTAGGTACTAATCTGGAAAATATTGCATTGAGAAGCCTTTGTCCATAGATGCCACATATCAAGTTTCGTACAGATCGGTCATTCGGTGTCCGAAGAGTAGCGTTTTAAGTGTTTTTCACAAAATTCTTAAATGGCAAAAATCCATCAATGGCGGACCTTATGGGTCCCTGAATCAAATGTGTTCCTTGTGAGGAGAGGGACTTATGTACTGAATTCCATGACACAAACGGGGGTGAGGGCTGTGACCTTTCAAAGTTTGCATTTTCAATCTCTTGTTATAGCGCCACCGTCTGGCCAATCAGTGTGATTTTGTAAAACATGCATCATTCACCCAAGTTACGTCAGAATCGGGCCAGTGCTGTCTGAGATAACGCGTGTGACTAATGCACTAATGGACGGAGACAGACCCACAGTCCCTTCCCCCTGATAATAGTGATCCAGCACAGACCAGTATGTTTATTTATCTTACCAGGAGGTGGTTTGGGGATCCCGAAGACCAGAGCGAGTGTAACCCCTACCACAGCCAGGACTGTTCCTACAGCTAGTAGTATAGTGGACAGACAGACAGCTCGTCTGCTGCAGCACTGGCCACAGCGGTCTGTGGACAGACAGACAGACAGACAGAGGGGAGCAAGGCCACAGCCCAGCGACAGATCCTGTACAAGTCTATAGTTGACGTCTGAAATGGCATCCGTATAGTACACTACTTTTGACCAGAGCCATGTATTGTTGTGATTCCTGTGTAAACCATACTGCACACACCAATAATAACACATTTAAAGCAAACTATTTCTAGGTGATGACAGACAAATAAATAATTTGTCTTACCTTCATCAGGTGACCCCAATGAATGGGCATCGAACAGTCTCTGACATGGAATAGAAAAGTCATACATTTTAAGTCCAAGGAAATATTTTCTAACATAGAGGAAATGTAGTTTCCGTATTAATAAAATTCAAAATGATTCCATGGATGTTTACAAAAAAACACTATAGTTCCAAATTCTAAATTCCATTCCAACGGACACATCTGAGAAATTATTACCTGCTGGGGGTGGGTCCTGTTAGATTTCATGTTTTAGCTCTTCAATATTCCTCTATTCCTATTCAACATATCTGAGCACTACAAAAGCACAGCTAACTAAACAAGTCACATAATACCATTAGGTAGGTTGATAGGTTCAGTGATATATGATCAGTTGCAGTTCGGTGATAGTTACTCGGCTACCATTGAGGCGTTGTGGAAACAACAATTTCGCCTCAGTCACCTCACGCCAGCTCAGACATGCCCACAGTGACAAAGGTAAACAGCATCTGTCCTTAAACAGTGGGCCGTGCCCATGTTAATCATAAACTTGGCACCAAGGCTCAATGGACTGAATTCTGAACGGGGAAATAGTTTTAAATCAGTTTTAGTGGTTTGTTTATAGTCCCTTAGAAACTTAAAAGCCTTTGAATTGTTCCTTGCCATAGCTGCTGTGTGTTTGAGGATTTCCGGCTGACCTAACAGTCAATATGGGAATACGGCTTTAAAGGAAATGCTAGGTATTGGAGGTATCACTCTATCAAAATAATGTTTAGACGAGCTGGTTGACTCAATATTTTTTTTTTTTTTCTGAACCATTTTTAAAATCAGGAGAAAACAAGAGTAAAGTTACAAATACCTACAGTGCTGTTATGTCTAAAACTAATCTGAGGGCACACTATAAAAGCATTAAAAGATAATTGGAATTTCAGTGTACTTCCTGAATTGACTGGCATTGAAGTGGAATTGAGCCCAACCCTGATCTCCACCATGCTGGTTTGGACCCTAGATGTTTAGACGTTGGACTGGTCCAGGTTGACTTTGGAAGGGAGTGGTCCAGCCTCCTCATCCTGCCCCGGCCCGGAGGTGATGATGACCAGAGAGGATGCTGGGTAAGGGGTCAGCAGCCTGTTGTCCTTGGCGTACTCCATGTATCCATAGATACTCAGTTTCTACAGACGGAAAAGTTTTATTTTCAATATTGAATGACTTTGGTTCCTTCATATCTCAATAGATACTCAGTTTCTACAAAGACAACATTTTTTTCTTTCATATCCCTTTGTTTTTGCATTTACGCAAAGAGTTATGGGATATTAGAACACTAATACTCATATTTTCGGCCTAGGGGAAGACTTCCCTCAGCTGGGATGTATTGAACTACAGCAGTCGCCATCAAATCAAATGTCACATGCGCCGAATACAACAGGTGAAATGCTTACTTACAAGCCCTTAACCAACAATGCAGTTCAAGAAATAGAGTTAAGAGAATATTTACTGAATTAAAAAAAATAAAAAATAAAAAGTAACAGTTATCGCCATGGTAGCACAGCAGATCCAGATGAGAACCAGAATAGACAGGATCAGACAGATCCAGCCTGCGAGCCAGGGGTTCCTAGTGAAGAAGATAACCTCCTGAGCGGCGCAGTGGTCTAAGGCACTGCATCGCAGTGCTAACTGTGCCACTAGAGATCCTGGTTCGAATCCAGGCTCTGTCGTAGCCGGCCGCGACCGGGAGACATGGGGGCGGCGCACAATTGTCCAAGGTAGGGGAGGGTTTGGCCGGCAGGGATGGCGTTTGCAATGCCAGGGTTGTGGGTTCGATTCCCATGGGGGGCCAGTATGAAAAAAATAATGTATGCACTCACTAACTGTAAGTCGCTCTGGATAAGAGCGTCTGCTAAATGACTAAAATGTAAGAAGAATAAGCGCCCTGTTGCATTTTTTTGTAGGACTGAAAAAAATGCCTGGAATGTAAAAGAACGTTATTAACCGGTTCCCATGCTTTTAAAATAACAGTTCTGTTCCCGGAACAGTATAGATCACGTTTGATCCTGGTTCTGATTGCGTTCCTCTAAAAATTTATTTATTTTCCGGTATTCGGTTCCCTGAACAGGTTCCAACTGCTGCTTTACTAGTTGAGAACAGAAACCACACACACACACACAGACAGACAGACAGACAGAGGGACAGACAGACAGAGGGACAGAGGGACAGACAGAGGGACAGAGGGACAGACAGACAGAGGGACAGAGAGAGAGAGGTTAAAAGACCAGGATCAGCTAGGGTGCAGTGCCCCTGGAGCAGTTTCAGGGGTTAAGTGCTTAAGGGGCCGATGGCAGAAGACGTGTCCTCTGTAACGGACCTGGAGAGACAGCTGAAGAGGTTGTAGTCGTCCTTGTTGATGCTGCGGTCCACATACATGTCCCTGTCCCTCTCCTGGACAAAGCTACACTGGTAGTCCTTCTACACTGGGCTGCTCAAGCCTGGAACTGGGGCAGGAAATGGAAATGTTTTAATCAAAATTGTGTTTCACTTCATTCAGTAAAGACTTAAGTAAAATTCAAATGCACATTTTTACAGTACAACATTTAGTCATTTCTCTGATCTTGTGTGTGGACACTGGTGTATGGTTCAGTAAAGCACATTATGAGCATGACTTACATTATTTATGTGATTCCCCCTTAGTTTCCTTTCTGGAGCTCAAACTGATAAAAAGAAACGTACCGTTGCTTGTCGATATACCTTTTTTATTTTATTTTTCACTCTTCATTTTTCTTCCCTTAAAACAGTGTGTTGAAATAAACACCTGTTTAATGCAGTGAAGCTTGAATAGGGAAATCATTCTAGTGGGGTGACACAGGCACTTCTTGGAAACTCACACCCCTTCCTTCCAATGTTGTCCTTTTGGGCTATGGTTTAGATGATTCAGGACAGACCTAACGGTCAATCTGGTAAATATGGCTACAAGTTAAATGCAACGTATTGGAGGTATCACTGTCAAAATAAGAGATAGACAACAGCTGGTTGACTCTGTTTATTTCAAAACCATTTCTCATCAGGAGAAGAAGAAAAAAAATACTACTACAGCGCTGTTACAACTACCTACAGCGCCGTCACGTCAAAAACTAATCTGAAGTCAGATTTCAGCGTTAATTGTTTAATATTTAAACAGTCTCTGTTGTGACAAATGGCTGCTTAGAACAGAAAACCTCCATCCAACCAATACAGGTTAAAACACGACCACACTAAGTGAAGGGGAGAGATACAGCGGTAGTGGTTTAAGCACATAGCCCGTTATTGACCCGTGTAATTTCACCAAAATCTATTTAGGGTTTCTATGTTCTAAATGAAACCTGCACATAAAACGTGTACTCCGTCCGAAAACGGCACCCTACTCCCTATATAGTGCACTACTTTAGACAACACTATATAGGGAATAGGGTGCCATTTGGGACGCATACAGAGGCCATCAACAAATTATGATTCAATAAAACAAAACATCAAACGAGGGTCTGGAAAACACCCCAACAAAAGAGAAAGAAAGTCCTAAAAAATAAGCTAATGTAACTGTGCTGCTATCATTGTGAGTGTAATGCCTCACTTTACTTTATGCCAATACACAGAACAAAAATAAGCCCCCCCCCCCCTTATTATGCTAATCTCCAGAACTTGAAAGAGGAACAAGACAACAGCCAATACAAAATGTGCTTGAAGCAGTTTTTACAATTTAGACTAAAAAGGGGTCTAACAGTGTGAAAACGTAAGACTGACTTGGGCTTTCTAAAAAGGGCCAGCTTCAGTTTGCAGACCCAGATTAAGCCCATTCCTGGACTAAAGAACACCCCTTTCAATGGAAATCCATTTAGCATGCTTTTTCATAACTCTTCTCACCCTGCACAATCATGTTTCAATTCACTAGTCCAGATTAATCGTAGTCCTGGACTAAAACACATGCTCAATGGGAAAATCTCCATAAAAATGCCTCTTACTCCAGGACTAGTTTTATCATCACCTTCTCCACCCTGTTGGTTTGTAGCCTGGGTAAAGGTCTGTTTGTGTTATCATGTCACTCCTTGCCAGTCAAGGAGTGGCAAGAAGCGGAAAGATAGCACAAACAGATTGGTACCCAGGCTAGCTGGTTTGGACCCTAGATGTTTAGACGTTGGACTGGTCCAGGTTGACTTTGGAAGGGAGTGGTCCAGCCTCCTCATCCTGCCCCGGCCCGGAGGTGATGATGACCAGAGAGGATGCTGGGTAAGGGGTCAGCAGCTTGTTGTCCTTGGCGTACTCCATGTCTCCATAGATACTCAGTTTCTACAAAAGACAAAGACGTAAAAGTTTGATTTTCAATATTGATATGGATACTTTGGTTCCTTCTTGATTACTACCATCTGTAGGAATGGTGTTAATAAACCACTTAAGTGCACTAAAACCTGTCAGTTGAATAGTTTGATGCACCAAGTCTGGAACCAACAGGACCCTGAACAGCTTCTACCCCCAAGCCATCAGACTGATAAATAGTTAACCAAATAGCTACCTGGACTAGGGCTGTTACAGTGACCATATTACCGCCACACCGCCAGTCACGAGTCATGACCGCAGTCACGGTAATTAGGCTTCTCCAAGCTCTGATGCTGCTAATGGTCATTAGATACCAAACTTGCTAACTGCCTGGTACTCAGCACTCTATTGTCCCTCTAATCACTCTGACATCAATGCAAATGTATTCGAAAATCAAATCAAACACTTCACGAGAGCACATGAGCTATGCAATTGTGTGAGAAAACAAAGTTGATGGCCTCTTAAAAAGAGGAGGATCCCATCAGCTTTCCATAGGCTAGGCCTACTTTAATTATTTCTCAACTTTCCTAATATTAAGCAATACAAAAGGAGATGATCGTGGACTACAGGAAAAGGAGGGCCGAACACGCCCCCATTCACATCGACGGGGCTGTAGTGGAGCGGGTCGAGAGTTTAAAGTTCCTTGGCGTCCACATCGCCAACAATCTATCATGCTCCAAACACACCAAGAAAGTCGTGAAGAGGGCACGACAACACCTTTTCCCCCTCAGGAGACTGAAAAGATTTGGCATGGGTCCCCAGACCCTCAACAAGTTCTACAGCTGCACCATCGAGAGCATCCTGACCGGTTGCATCACCGCCTGGTATGGCAACTGCTTGGCATCCGACCGTAAGGCGCTACAGAGGGTAGTGCGTACAGCCCAGTACATCACTGGGGCCAATCTTCCTGCCATCCTGGACCTATATACTAGGCGGTGTCAGAGGAAGGCCCAAAAAATTGTCAAAGACTCCAGTCACCCAAGTCATAGACTGTTCTCTCTGCTACCACACGGCAAGCGGTACCGGAGCGCCAAGTCTAGGTCCAAAAGGCTCCTTAATAGCTTCTACCCCGAAGCCATAAGACTGCTGAACAATTAATCAAATGGCCACCCGGACTATTTGCATTGACCCCCCCTCTTTTGCTTTTACACTGCTGCTACTCTCTGTTTATTATCTATGCATAGTCACTTTACCCCTACCTACATGTACAAATTACCTCGACTAACCTGTATCCCCTGTATATACCCTCATTATTGTTATTTTATTGTGTAACTTGTTTTAAATTTTTTTTTTTTTTTTTTTTACTTTCGTTTATTTAGTAAATATTTTCTCAACACGGCATTGTTGGTTAAGGGCTTGTTAGTAAGCATTTCACGGTAAGGTCTACACCAGTTGTATTCGCCGCATGTGACACATAACATTTGATTTGATTTAGCACATTGCTTCGCTTTACAACAGGAGTATTATAGCCTACCTGGCTGGCATGAAAATGAACCACGGGAAAAGCGTCCTTCATTCGCTATTTAAGTGCATAGATTCCATGTATTTTTCCCCCCTGCCCCTGTTCCCGAGACAGGCGAATGATAATGGTCCATTCTAAATCAAAACTAATTTCACACATATATTATTTAGTAAAGGTAAAGACAAGATTAAATTAAGAATAGTCTGATGGGTGACAATATTAGCCTATCACTTGTGAATGATATATTACTACTTGTGAATGATATATTATTACTTGTGAATGATATATTATTACTTGTGAATGATATATTATTACTTGTGAATGATATATTATTACTTGTGAATGATGCCCAGCGTTTGCAGTAAGGCAAGAAACAGTGAATGCCTTTTTTTGCGACTTTTTCAAATCAGTCGCACACCTCATGTAGCCTAGCTCAGGCTTATATGCTTTGATAAGGTTCGTATCGCAACTAAAGTGGTCAAATAACTTTAAAATGAAGCACATTAATCCCCTTTACAACCGGTGTAGAGCCTAACAGGCATACATAGGCGGCGCGTGAATCAAGTTTGGGGAAGATAATCTTCACCATAAAAATGCACTTTTATAATAAAGCATTATTACATGGATAAAAGCATTTGCGGTCACTTTTGAGAACAGTGTTTTCCCGCTAATTGATTGCATTTTGTAACATTCGCGATTACAGCCTACTGCCGTGTGACATTGCTGCACTTACATAGTTTATCAACATTTTAAGCTAAACGTTCTGATCAGTTGCATCAGCCTCATTGCTTTTAAAAGTTTTTTTTGATGCTAGTGGTTGTATTAATTTGGGATCTATCGCATCCCACAACTGTCCCAGACTAGGTTTGGAATGTTTATTTCTTGCACAGAAGGACAAGTTGACCAATAGAATAGGTAAACTTTTGTACTATGGGGGATAGAAGATTAAACATAGGCTAGTGCTTTTGCTGTTCGTTAGGCCTACTCATCTTGTCGGCTGACGAAAAGTAAATGTGGACAGTTCTTCTAACATCTTCAATGTGCGCCTCGGAATTGGATAAGAAGGATGGGCTCAGTTGTGTCCTCAACGTGTCTGTCTTCACTTGTAGCCTACTTCGGAGCCGAGATGCCCGTGAGAAGGAAGGGCATTGGCTAATAAGAATTGAGATATCTGAGAGAGCCATGTGAGTGAGAGGTGCCTCGGAGCACGGCGATTAGCAGCCGGGAGAAGGGAATGATAATTATTATATTCAACCCAAGGGCCGCTGCCTTCAGCGCACACATCCGTGACGGTATGACCCATGCCCTTCTGGCACAAATAACTCAAATCGCCCGATTGACTAGATTTAGTTACACATTTCAATATGGGATATTTTACCCCCGATCTTGAAAATAAAATGACCATACCAGAAACTTATTTTAGGCCATGGCTGCGAATCAAACCTTTTCTGGATATTTAGTCTGCTGGACTAAAAGATCCGGAGCTTCCGGAAGCTTCATGTGCGGATCACGTTCTGCTCATGTGTATTGTACTCTATGCGTAGAGAACAGGCTACTCAGACGAATGGTGCTCGTTTAATAAAAGTTAGATCAAAGCTGAATCAATGTCTGCAAGATCACAATGATCTCAGTATTCGACCTAACAAAACCAAATAGCATAACGTTATTGCAAGACGAAAACACCACCACATTCAATCGCGAATGATCATTTTTACCGGTGAAACATCCCATGCAGCATCTGCATAGGAACCATTTGATGTCAGTCAGTTTCACGGGGATATACATTTAGATCTTCTTGAGTTATATAGTGTTGTTTAAAGTAGCCTACAGTATTGTTTTGAATGATGTAGCCTTAAGTGAGTGAAATTTTAAAGATGGCGTTAACTGTAGCATAGCCTACCTGTGTATTTTGCCTAGTGGTGCGCGACGTTGAGTTTTGGCCACGTGAGAGAAAAATGGGGTGGTGTTTTTTGTCTTCCAGTAACGTTACACTAGTATGCTACTATATTGACCTTGCAGACATTGATTCAGCTTTGATCCAACTTCGTTAAAACAAGCACGGTGGCTACCTAAGATCATACGCAGAAACATGTCATCGGGTCTAACGGTCGCGTCTCACCGAACTGCGCATGTACACGCCGTCAAATCAAAAAGGCACTCTTTCGTTATTAAAGTTGTTTTTGGCAAAAATGAAAGTGTCAGGTTTGTCACTTCCACGAGGTTGGATTAATAACATGTTCAACTACTTAAGAAATTGGCCTCGAATCCAGGTTGCGAAATTAACAACTAAGGAAGACTTTTTCACTTCTCTCATTGACTTCTTAATTAACATTTTTGTCATTTAGCAGACGCTCTTATCCAGAGCGACTTACAGTTAGTGAGTGCATACATTATTTTTTTTATACTGGCCCCCCGTGGGAATCGAACCCACAACCCTGGCGTTGCAAACGCCATGTTCTACCAACTGAGCTACATCCCTGCCGGCCATTCCCTCCCCCTACCCTGGACGACGCTTGGCCAATTGCGGCCGGCTACGACAGAGCCTGGATTAACAACTAAGGAAGACTTTTTCACTTGTCTCATTGACTTCTCAAAACACCAAACCCCGACCTGGTCTGCTTTGTCCTGTTTCGCAAGCGTTCCTGGATGTCTCGCGATGTTGAGCCCCTGGGTTTAGAAACTCTGTGGTACGGTACTGCATTGTATAGCCTACAAACACCTCTGCTAGCTGCCCCATGGTGGCGATTCTAAATATCATTCAATCAAATTCTCCTGCTGCAGGATTATTTTCCTCCTGTGACGAAATGGGTCAAATTAAGATCTGACATCTGTACCCAGGTTAAGTGGAATTCATGGGACCAGAGCCGTTGCTAGATAGCCCCTTTTTTGTTGTTGTTGTTGTTGCATTTACGCAAAGATGGGATATTAGAATACTCCTTCATATTTTTTTGACCTAGGGGGACGTTACCTCAGCAGGGACATATTGGTCAACAGCGGTCGCCACGGTAGCACAGCAGATCCAGATGAGAACCAGAATAGACATGATCAGAGTGGTGGTCAGGATCCAGCCCGGGAGCCAAGGGTTCCTAGACGGAGGAGGAGGGGCGGGATGTCAAATTACACATCAATGGAGTCATTCAATCAGGAACAATGTGTTTCCCCAAAACACTTCCTTCTTTCCATCTTAGGTTTTCTTTGGTGATATAAACGTGGGACTCTATTTTAGCACCGCCTCCTGCTTCTTTTCATTTGCATATCAGCTTCATTTCCTGATAGACATACCTTCTAAACCTAATAAGGTTTGTGCAGAAGACGTGTCCTCTGTAACTGACCTGGAGAGACAGCTGAAGAGGTTGTAGTCGTCCTTGTTGATGCTGCGGTCCACATACATGTCCCTGTCCCTCTCCTGGACAAAGCTACGCTGGTAGTCTTTGTACACCGGGCTACCCAGACCAGGATCTGGAGCGGGAGAGATGGACGTGTTTTCATACCAATTGTGTTTGTTGTTGTTGTATTACACAGTAAAACATTGTGATTGTGTAAAAGTTCATACGTAAATCCCAAATGCACACTCACAGCATTTTGTATTTTCAGTTTGTGAATTTGCTAGAGATTTTTTTGTTTTTTTATCAAATAAAATGTTATTGGGTCGCATACACATATTTTGCAGATGTTATCGCAGGTGCAGTGAAATGCTTATGTTTCTAGAGCCAACAGTGCAGCATACCTAACAATACACACAAATCCAAAAACTAAAAATTAAGAAACATCAGAACAACAATGTAAGTCTGGAATATACATACATACAGTACCAGTCAAAAGTTTGGACACACCTACTCATTCCAAGTTATTTTCTTCTTTTTATTTTTTAAACTATTTTCTAGATTGTAGAATAATAGTGAGGACATCAAAACTATTAACTAACACATATGGAATCATGTAGTAAGCAAAGTGTTAAATCAAATATATTTTATATTTGAGATTCTTCAAAATAGCCACCCTTTGCCTTGATGACAGCTTTGCACGCTCTTGGCATTCTCTCAACCAGCTTCATGAAAAATGCTTTTCCAACAGTCTTGAAGGAGTTCCCACATATGCTGAGCACTTGTTGGCTGATTTTCCTTCACTCTGCGGTCCAACTCATCCCAAACCATCTCAATTGGGTTGAGGTCGGGGGATTGTGGAGGCCAGGTCATCTGATGCAGCACTCCATCACACTCCTTCTTGGTAAAATAACCCTTACACAGCCTGGAGGTGTATTGGGTCATTGTCATGTTGAAAAACAAATGATAGTCCCACTAAGCCCAAGCCAGATAGGATGGCATATCGCTGCAGAATGCTGTGGTAGCCATGCTGGTTAAGTGTGCCTTGAATTCAAAATAAATCACAGACAGTGTCACCAGCAAAGCACCCCCACACCATAACACCTCCTCCTCCATGCTTTACGGTGGGAAATACACATGCGGAGATCATCCGTTCACCCACACCGCATCTCACAAAAATTGGAACAAAACATTTCCAATTTGGACTCCAAGCATTCCTCCAGACCAAAAGGACACATTTCCACCAGTCTAATGTCCATTGCTCGTGTTTCTTGGACCAAGCAAGTCTCTTCTTCTTATTGGTGTCCTTTAGTAGTGGTTTCTTTGCAGCAATTCGACCATGAAGGCCTGATTCACACAGTCTCCTCTGAACAGTTGATGTTGAGATGTGTCTGTTACTTGAACTCTGTGAAGCATTTATTTGGGCTGCAATTTCTGAGGCTGGTAACTAATGAACTTATCCTCTGCGGCAGAGGTAACTCTGGGTCTTCCATTCCTGTGGCGGTCCTCATGAGAGCCAGTTTCATCATAGCAATTGATGGTTTTTGCAACTGCACTTGAAAGTAATTGAAATGTTCCGTATTGACTGACCTTCATGTCTTAAAGTAATGATGGACTGTCGTTTCTCTTTGCTTATTTGAGCTGTTCTTGCCATAATATGGACTTGGTCTTTTACCAAATAGGGCTATTTTCTGTATACCTTGTCACAACACAACTGATTGGAACAAACGCATTAAGAAGGAAAGAAATTCCACAAATTAACTTTTAACAAGGCACACCTGTTAATTGAAAAGCATTCCAGGTGACTATCTCATGAAGCTGGTTGAGAGAATGCCAAGAGTGTGCAAAGCTGTCATCATGGCAAAGGGTGGCTACTTTGAAGAATTTCAAATATATTTTGATTTGTTTAACCCTTTTTTGGTTACTACATGATTCCATATGTGTTATTTCATAGTTTTGATGTCTTCACTATTATTCTACAATGTAGAAAATTAAAAAAAAATTAAGAAAAACCCTTAAATTAGTAGGTGTCCAAACCTTTGACTAGTACTGTGTGTATATATATATATATCAAAGCATGTAGAGGTCTGTAATTTTTATCCTAGGTACACTTCAACTGTGAGAGACGGAATCTAAAACAAAAATCCAGAAAATCAAATTGTATGATTTTTAAGTAATTAATTTGCATTTTATTGCATGACATAAGTATTTGATACATCAGAAAAGCAGAACTTAATATTTGGTACAGAAACCTTTGTTTGCAATTACAGAGATCATACGTTTCCTGTAGGTCTTGACCAGGTTTGCACACACTGCAGCAGGGATTTTGGCCCACTCCTCCATACATACCTTCTCCAGATCATTCAGGTTTCGGGGCTGTCGCTGGGCAATAAGGACTTTCAGCTCCCTCCAAAGATTTTCTATTGGGTTCAGGTCTGGAGACTGGCTATGCCACTCCAGGACCTTGAGATGCTTCTTACGGAGCCACTCCTTAGTTGCCCTGGCTGTGTGTTTCAGGTTGTTGTCATGCTGGAAGACCCAGCCACGACCCATCTTCAATGCTCTTACTGAGGGAAGGAGGTTGTTGGCCAAGATCTCGCGATACATGGCCCCATCCATCCTCCCCTCAATACGATGCAGTCGTCCTGTCCCCTTTGCAGAAAAGCATCCCCAAAGAATGATGTTTCCACCTCCATGCTTCACGGTTGGGATGGTGTTCTTGGGACTGTACTCATCCTTCTTCTTCCTCCAAACACGGTGATTGGAGTTTAGACCAAAAAGCTCTATTTTTGTCTCATTAGACCACATGACTTTCTCCCATTCCTCCTCTGGATCATCCAGATGGTCATTGGCAAACTTCAGACAGGCCTGGACATGCGCTGGCTTGAGCAGGGGGACCTTGCGTGCGCTGCAGGATTTTAATCCATGACGGCGTAGTGTGTTACTAATGGTTTTCTTTGAGACTGTGGTCCCAGCTCTCTTCAGGTCATTGACCAGGTCCTGCCGTGTAGTTCTGGGCTGATCCCTCACCTTCCTCATGATCATTGATGCCCCACGAGGTGAGATCTTGCATGGAGCCCCAGACCGAGGATGATTGACCGTCATCTTGAACTTCTTCCATTTTCTAATAATTGCGCCAACAGTTGTTGCCTTCTCAGCAAACTGCTTGCCTATTGTCCTGTAGCCCATCCCATCCTTGTGCAGGTCTACAATTTTATCCCTGATGTCCTTACACAGCTCTCTGGTCTTGGCCATTGTGGAGAGGTTGGAGTCTGTTTGATTGAGTGTGTGGACAGGTGTCTTTTATACAGGTAACGAGTTCAAACAGGTGCAGTTAATACAGGTAATGAGTGGAGAACAGGAGGGCTTCTTAAAGAAAAACTAACAGGTCTGTGAGAGCCGGAATTCTTACTGGTTGGTAGGTGATCAAATACTTATGTCATGCAATAAAATGCAAATTAATTACTTAAAAATCATACAATGTGATTTTCTGGATTTTTGTTTTAGATTCCGTCTCTCACAGTTGAAGTGTACCTATGATAAATATTACAGACCTCTACATGCTTTGTAAGTAGGAAAACCTGCAAAATCGGCAGTGTATCAAATACTTGTTCTCCCCACTGTATATATATAAAATGATGGGTGTAGACAGTATATGAATAGAAAAGGTGTGTACAGCAGTAGTTATATAGGATGAGCCTTGACTTGAATACAGTATATACACATATGAAGTGTGTAAAAGAGTATGTAAAAATTATTAAAGTGACTTGTGTTCATTGAGTATGTACATGTACACTGAGTGTACAACACATTAGGAACACCTGTTCTTTTCATGAAATAGACTGACCAGGTGAATCCAGGTGAAAGCTATGATCCCTTATTGATGTCACCTGTTAAATCCACTTCAAAATCAGTGTAGATGAAGGGGAGGAGAAAGGTTAAAGAAGGATTTTTAAGCCTTGAGACAAGTGAGACATGGATTGTGTATGTGTTCCATTCAGAGGGTGAATGGGCAAGACAAAAATATTTAAGTGCCTTTGAACGGGACATGGTAGTAGGTGCCAGGCGCACCGGTTTGGGTGTTAAGAACTGCAACACTGCTGGGTTTTTCACACTCAACAGTTTCCCGTGTGTATCAAGAATGGTCCACCACATCCAACAAAACTTGATACACCTGGGGGGAAGCATTGGAGACAACATGGGCCAGCATCCCTGTGGAACGCTTTAAAACACCTTGTAGAGTCCATGCACCGACAAATTGAGGCTGTTCTGAGGGCAGAAGGGGGTGAAACTCAATATTAGGAAGGTGTTCCTAATGTTTTGTACACTCAGGGTATATGTACATAGGGCAGCAGTCTCTAAGGTGCAGGGTAGAGTACCGGGTGGTAGCCGGCTAGTAACAGTGAATATGATGAAGACGACTTACATTTCGACTGTGGTTCTCCCCCGACTTCCTCTTTCTGGAGCTCAAACGCAGGAATAAACTGGATCTGTGGTTCAGTCTGTCAAATCAAATTACGTACTCAGGTTACCCAACAATTACCTACCCAAGTTCAGTTAGTCAATTAGTGCCTGCCAGTGGCAAATGTGCAACAGGAAAAGTGAAAAACAATCCTAAAAGGGAGTGTCGGCTTGGATGAATAGGGTTGGAGTCGCTCCACAGAAGACGCTACCTGGAAGATGACCAGCTTCCCGTCGTCAGCCTGGAGATAGAAGGTCCAGGAGGAGGACATCATGTTATGGGCCTGACTCATGACATCGTCCCAGAACCCTCTCACCAGAGTCAAAGGGTACAGCAGGTGGATGCGGGGCATCATGGCCAGCAACTGGAGGATGACAGTATTATGGGGTCAAGGGTCAAAAGCACATCCCAGTTCATGGGGTCTGGTAGGAATCACATAGCCTGGCGCCAGATACAGTGCCTTTGTAAAGTATTCAGATCCCTTGACTTTTTCCACTTTTTTACATTACAGCCTTATTCTAAAATAGATCACATTAAATACATTCCTCATCAATCTACACACAAGACCCCATAATGACAAAGAAATGTTTGCAAATGTATTAAAAACGGAAATACCTTATTTACATAAGTAGTCAGACACTTTACGGTAGAGTGGCCAGAAGAGGACTGGCCACCCCTCATAGCCTGGTTCCTCTCTAGGTTTCTTCCTAGGTTTTCGCCTTTCTAGGGAGTTTTTCCTAGCCACCGTGCTTCTACACCTGCATTACTAGCTGTTTGGGGTTTTAGGCTGGGTTTCTGTACAGCACTTCGAGATATTAGCTGATGTAAGAAGGGCTATATAAAATAAAATTGATTGATTGATTGACACTTTGCTATGAGACTCGAAATTGAGCTCAGATGCATCCTGTTTCTATTGATCATCCTTGAGATGTTTCTACAACTTGCTCGGAGTCCACCTGTGGCAAATTCAAATGATAGGAACTGATCTGGAAAGGCACACACCTGTATATAAGGTTCCACAGTTGACAGTGCATGTCAGAGCTTAAACCAAGCCATGAGGTCGAAGGAATTGTCCGTAGAGCTCCGAGACAGGAATGTGTCGAGGCACAGATCTGGAGAAGGGTATCAAAAAAATTTCTGCAGCATTGAAGGTCCCCAAGAACACAGTGGCCTCCATCATTCTTAAAATGGAAGCAGTTTAGAACCACCAAGACTCTTCCTAGAGCTGGCCGCGTGGCCAAACTGAGCAATCGGGGGAGAAGGGCCTTGGTCAGGGAGGTGGTCACTCTGACAGAGCTCTAGAGTTCCTCTGAGGAGATGGGAGAACCTCTCAAAAGGACAACCATCTCTGCAGCACTCCACCAATCAGGCCTTTACGGTAGAGTGGCCAGACGGAAGCCACTCCTCAGTAAAAGGCACATGACAGCCCGCTTGGAATTTGCCAAAAGGCACATAAAGACTCTCAGACCATTAGAAACAAGATTCTCTGGTCTGATGAAAGCAGGATTGAACTCTTTGGCCTGAATGCCAAGCGTCACGTCTGGAGGAAACCTGGCACCATCCTTACGGTGAAGCATGGCGGTGGCAGCATCATGCTGTGGGGAGGTTTTTCAGCGGCAGGGACTGGTAGACTAGTCAGGATGAGGAAAAGATGAACGGAGCAAAGTACAGAGAGATCCTTGATGAAAACCTGCTCCAGAGAGCTCAGGACCTCAGACTGGGACGAAGGTTCACCTTCCAACAGGACAATGACCCTAAGCACACAGCCAAGACAACGCAGGAGTGGCTTCGGGACAAGTCTCTGAATGTCCTTGAGTGGCCCAGCCAGAGCCCGGACTTGAACCCGATCGAACATCTCTGGAGAGACCTGAAAATAGCTGTGCAACGCTCCCCATCCAACCTGACAGAGCTTGAGAGGATCTGCAGAGAAGAATGGGAGAAACTCCCCAAATACAGGTGTGGCAAGCTTGTAGCGTCATACCCAAGAAGACTCGATGCTGTAATCACTGTCAAAGGTGCTTCAACAAAGTACTGAGTAAAGGGTCTGAATACTTATGTAAATTTGATATTTTAGTTTTTAAAAAGTAATACATTAGCAAACATATCTAAAAACCTGTTATTGCTTTGTCATTATGGGGAACTGTGTGTAAATTGATGAGGAAAAAAACAATTTAATCCATTTTAGAATAAGGCTGTAACGTAACAAAAAGTCAAGGGGTCTGAAAACTTTCCGAAGGCACTATGTTTGTGCTTTCATGCCAACTTTTATGGTCAATGGTGCAGGACTTGGCTATACATCACAAACAGATCTGGGACCAGACTAGATGGGCTAGCCAGTTGGCTATACAGCACAAACTGATCTGGGACCAGGTTAGATGGGCTAGCCGTTTGGCTATACATCACAAACTGATCTGGGACCAGACTAGATGGGCTAGCCAGTTGGCTATACAGCACAAACTGATCTGGGACCAGGTTAGATGGGCTAGCCGGTTGGCTATACATCACAAACTGATCTGGAACCAGACTAGATGGGCTAGCCAGTTGGCTATACATCACAAACTGATCTGGGACCAGGTTAGATGGGCTAGCCAGTTGGTTATACATTTTTATTGCACCTTTATTTAACCAGGTAAGCCAGTTGAGAACAAGTTCTCATTTACAACTGCGACCTGGCCAAGATAAAGCAAAGCAGTGCGATAAAAACAACAGAGTTACATATGGGGTAAAACAAAACATAAAGTAAAAAATACAACAGAATTTATATATACAGTGTGTGCAAATGTAGCAAGTTATGGAGGTAAGGCAATAAATAGGCCATAGTGCAAAATAATTACAATTAGTATTAACACTGGAATGATAGATGTGCAAGAGATGATGTGCAAATAGAGATACTGGGATGCAAATGAGCGAAATAAATAACAATATGGGGATGAGGTAGTTGAACTATAGCACAAACTGATCTGGGACCAGGCTCCCCTCCCACACACACACATTCAGATGCTCCAAAACACAGGCCTGTTGTTATTGGTTAACAACATTTATATTCCAATAGGCTGTCTTCAGTCTATTTTCCTACATATCACCCAGTTCACCAACAATATTTGCGTTGTCAATATTGGTCTTCAACAATCAATGGCAGTCACTTGAGTGTGTTTGACGGAGCGGCGTAGCACACTACCTGCTCTTGTTTTTGTACCTGCTCTTGTCTTTGCTCAGCAAACGGTAGTTGACTCTGGCAGCCCAGGTTGCAGGCATACTGCTCATCTGACTGCCTGTACGCTTCATGACAAGCTGGGGAGAACCAGGAAGTAAAAAACAAACAAACAAAAAAACAGGTTACAGAACAGATGACACAGACATTGTCTGGCTAGTCTCGTGGAACCAGAAGACTGTCTAATTGGTGTAATGTCTGGCACCGATTTTAACCACCGTGAAGAAGTGTACCGGTGGCGTTCCTCAATAATTTAGTCAAGACAGATTGCAAGGACACATGATTGGGAATGCCCTGACGAATTGAGGCTGTTCTGAGGTCAAAAGGGGGGTGCAACTCAATATTAGGAAAGGTGTTCCTAATGTTTGGTATACTCAGTATACTTTGTAACTTGTCACTCCATGTTGTTTTCTGAATCAAATGGGGCTTAGGTGGTGGGTGTGGCCAATGGCACGGTCCTCCTCTTGGCTGCAGACATATCTTTTGGGGCCGAGAGAGAATTTTACAGTTGTAACGCTAATTTCCTGCAATTCTACAAAAAAAAATCTATGGCTTATACCGTGTTCTTCTGCTATCCGAGTAGCTCAAATTATAACTAAATCAATGGGGGCCCCAAGCCATGACATTTTTGATTCTCCTACAAGGACACCCTGATTATTATCGTTTTGACGACATTATGAAGACTGATTCTGTAGCAGCTGGAAAAGTCACTGTCTTTTGTTTTGACTTCGTACAAGCCTCTGGAGCTGATGTTTTGGGAACATTTGGTACTGTATGATTAGAATATAAAGGGCCTGTTTCCAAGAGGCCCGTTAGACATTTTATTTGCTTCTGCTCTGGAGGTTCTCCCTGAATTCTTCTAATAAACCTTTTAGTTCAACTGAAAATTCCCTTTACAAAAGCATTATCTGTTTTCTGCACAGTAGTCTATGTACTTAGCTGGCAACATGACTATCTGTTTTCTGCACAGTAGTCTATGTACTTAGCTAGCAACATTACTATCTTTTGAAGACATTGCATGACAATCTTACTGGAGTCACACTCGACTTTAGTTTGGTTCAGATCCTCGCTGTCGCCCACGAACTGGCAAATGGAGAACAGTCGACAGCCTCTCTGACAGGCGTACAGTTCCTCCTCCTACAACACAAACAAACACAGTCATGAACAGGACTGAACCAGTATCTTTGTGCTCTCTAACGCTCAGAAAGCTCCGATTCAAACTCCCATTCACCAGCTCTGCAAGCGTTATATTGTTAAAATACGTTCGTTGATCACCAAATACGGAGTTTCGCTGAGCAACTACTGTAATCTACATTTACTCCCGTTACGGCCAGCATGTACTTGCCCCCAAAATTACGTAATAAAAATGTAACGTTAAGTTACAAACAACCGGAAAAAAATGCCTATTCGGCACCTCCAATCTGAATCACTAATTACAGCCACGCAGTGGTCGGAAGTCTACAACAGCTAAATACATTGTAGGCGCCGCAGAGTCATTTTTTCGGTTGCTAGTACATTTTTGGCTAGTCCTCTTCTAAAGGACAACGTTTAGTGTATCCACCGTTTTTCGGTATAGTAGACTTGCTTAGTTAGCAAAACGACAAACATGCTACTAGCTAGCTTCCAGCAACTCACCCGAGGATATGTGTGCAAACTGTAAGTCATTTGACATGTCTTATGGCAAGACGCAGTATTTCCCAAAACTCCATCAAAAATATCGGCAGTTGCCGAGGTGTATGCGAACACGAAGCACAGACTCACTAACACACCAAAGGACTTAAATGTCCGCATTTTAGCCTGCTGCGAAAATCGAAACAAACAACAGGCGAGTCCTTCTTCTTCCTCGTTCGTGAAAATCTCGCGAGAAAGAAATCATGATTCGGATGGCTGGCTGGTGGTCGTTACAACTAGTCACTACCTGCGCAGATTTCAAAGAGGAAAGAAAAGTCCGCCATTCTTCTTGATGCTTTTTATTTTATTTCACACCATACGGGCATAATACTAGAAAACACCCTGAATTTGGAGCTATTTATGCATTTTCAATGCCACTGAAATCGATCTACCGGTAGTATGGAAACCCGCGGTGCTTAGTTAAGACGCTTGTGAACCAAACAAAAACAAACGCGGTTCCTTCGCAGGAGAACAAGTCACCTGCAACCTCCGTACATTGCACATATTTTGACGAGTTGTTTTCCCTGTTAGTTTACGAACTCTTAATAATGATTACAAATAAAATACTATATCGATGATCGGTCCCCCTATTCAGAAATAAATCCAAGACACCTTGGAAAATGGACAAATTCGTGGTGCGTCTATCAAACCGGGAAGTACCAAAGGAAACGAAGGGTAAAGAAAAGGTGTATCGACAAGCAACTATTGAGTCTCTACGCGTAAGTTTCTGTTACCAACCGCTGCTCAAGTCAAACGTTATATTATATTGTGTACTTAGGCCTGCCTAATAAGAATGCGTACATAAAACATATATAATGTGTCTTCCTACCAGAGAGTGGTGGTGATTGAGGACATTGAGAGGTACAAGTCCATGCTGGAACTGCCTGGTCAGACCAAGGAGAATCTGCTACTAGCCCTGGCAGAGCTCAACAAGAAGATGCCGTCCAAGGAGGTGCTCAAGTCAACCAGAATAGGTAAGAGAATAATCCACCACCCCTTTGCCATTGGGACTCTTCACTTGAGGTAATCACACAAACTGGAAGGAGCGTCATTCCTTAGGCCTCTTTTAGCACACTGTCTGTGAACTTGGATCATGGCATTGCTTCCCTTCCCTTGCCATTCACTTAATCTATTCAAACAGTCTAGTAGTGTATTCATTAATTTCCTAAATACCTACACCTGTTAAAAGTTTGTCTTCTATGTTCTGCTTATCTCATTCTGGCACACAAATACAACCAAACACAGTCAACACACCAACACACACTCACAGATAACGCCTCTCGTCTCTTTCCTTCTTAGGCCACACTGTTAACAAGATGCGTAAGCATCACCCCGACCCTGAGGTGACTTCCCTAGCGGCAGAAGTGTACACTGCATGGAGGAGTTTCATTGAAGAGCACTCCAACAAGCCCTCCATAGAAGTACGCTGTGACAAGCAGACTGAGGGACTGAGGAACAACGCCAGGAGAATGCTGTCTGAAGCTCTGGGAGTGGAGGTGAGAAGACTTTGACTGTGTGTTGGGATTGTCAATACACCCATCTCTCTTTTTCTCTTGCTGTCTTTGTTTGTTTCTCTTCCTTTCTCTCTCTCCCTCTCTCTCTCTCTCTGTTCTCTCTCTCTCTCTCTCCTCTGTGTCTCTCTCTCTCCTCTCTCTCTGGTGTACTCTCTCTATCATCCCTCGCTCGCATCCTGTTTGTGTCTGTGTCTGTGTATCTCTCTGTGTCGTGTATCTCTCTCTCTCTCTCTCTCTCTGTGGTCTGGTCTCTCTCTCTCTCTCTGTGTATGTGTCTCTCTCTCCTATCTCTCTCTCTCTGTGTCTCTCTCTCTATCTCGTCTCGTGTCTCTCTCTCTGTCTCTCTGTCTATCTGTCTATGGTCCTCTGTCGCTATGTCTCCTCTGTCTTCAATGTCTAGTTGTCTGTCGCTCTGTCTCTGTCTTGTATCTCTCTCTCTCTCTTCTTGTCTCTCTCGCTCTCTCTCTGGGCTCTCTCGATTTCTCTGTGTCTCTATCTATGTTTTGTCTCTCTCTCTCTCTGTTGCTATCTCTCTATCTGTGTCTCTCTCTCTATTTGTGTTCTTCTCTCTGTAGTATGTGTCTATCTCTCTTGTGTCTCTCTTCTATATCTCTATCTCTTCTCTCTATCTGTTGGCTCCTCTCTCTCTCTGTGTCTCTCTCTCTGTGTCTCTCTCTCTCTGGTATCTCTCTCTCTCTGTGTCTCTCTATATCTGTATATGTTCTCTCTCTCTATCTGTCTGTTGTCTCTCTCTATCATCTCTCTCTGTTCTCTGTCGCTCTCTTGTCTCAGTGTCATTACCTCTCTCTCTCTGTTGTGTCTCTCTCATGTCTCTGTCTCAGTGTTCTCTCTCTCTGTCTCATGTCTCTCTCTCTCTCTCTCTCCTTCTCTCTCTCTCTCTCTCTCTCTCTCTCTCTCTCTCTGGTATCAATGTCTCTGTCTCTCTGTGTCTGTCGTCTCTCTCTCTCATCTCTCCTCTGTGTCTCTCTCTCTCTCTCTTGTGTCTCTCTCTACTCTCCCTGTGTCTCT